TCATTTAGCATGGTTCTAGCAAGTTCCTCTAGTGACCTATTTTTCCTTTCTACTACACCATTTTGTTGGGGAGTCCTAGGTGCAGAAAAATTATGCAAAATTCCATTTTCCTCACAATAATTTTCAAACCATTCATTTTGAAACTCTCCACCATGGTCACTTCTTAATACCCTAATTTTTAAGTCTTTTTCATTTTGAATTTGCTTTTCAAACTTCCTAAAGACCTTAAAGGCTTTACTTTTCAATGTTAAGAAAAATGTCCAAGTATATCTAGAAAAATCATCAACAATTACTAGAGCATAATAATTTCCACCAAAACTTTTTATCCTAGATGGACCAAATAAATCTAAGTATAATAATTCTAAAGGTTTTGATGTGGAAATAACATTCTTAGATTTAAATGATGATTTTACTTGTTTGCCTTTTTGACATGCATCACATAATCTATCTTTTTCAAACTTTAACTTAGGCAAACCAACAACTGAGTCCTTTGATATCAATTTGTTTAATTGATGCATATTTATATGAGCCGCTCTCTTATGCCATAACCATGGGTTCTCTTCCTTAGAAACTAAGCATGTTATACTAGTATCATGTATACAATCCAAATCAATCAAATAGATATTATTATGCCTAATTCCTTTCAATGCTACATTTTCAGAATTTATCAAATGTATGGTACAAAATTTACTTTCAAAGATTACCTTGAATCCTTTGTCACAAAGTTCACTTATACTTAGGAGATTATGCTTTAGCCCATCAACAAGAAGCACATCCTTTATCTCCAAAGTGTTTGCACCACCAATATTTTCAATTCCAAGTATCTTTCCTTTGTTATTGTCCCCATAGGTTACATATCCTTGTTCTTTAGCTTTGAAACTTACAAATTTCATTTTGTCTTCGGTCATATGTTTTGAGCATCCACTATCAAGATACCACATAGACTTCTTGGATTTGGAAGTTTCCTACAAAACAAGAAAATAGTAATCTTAGGTCCCCATAACTTTTGGGTCCTTGGGGTTAGAGACAAATAAATCATTTAACTATAGGAACCCAAACATATTTTCCTTTAGGAACATCAAAATGCTTAATTTTACATCTATTTGAGGTATGACCATGTTTCATACAATAAAAGCATGCATTAGATGTAATTTTAGAATTTGTTACATTTCTAACTATTGACGTTTTAGTTTCTTTTTCAACTCATACTCTTCTATTTTTAATTTTAGGCTTTTTCAAAGGAACATGACAATTTTCTCTATTTTGAATAATAGCTTTATCCTTATAATTATCACTTATTTCCTTCTTAGCTTTATCAAGTAAATGGCTAAGTATATCAATATCATATTCATACTCTTTACATGATGCACATGCTATATTCTTATTATCTTTTTCCTCTAAACATGCAATTTTCGTTTTTAAGGACTCCTTTTCCTCTAAACTTACAATTTTCGTTTTTAAGGACTCCACCTCTTTTTCGGATTTGTTCAAACACTTTTTCACATATTTGTATTCATTTTTCAAGTCCTTAAAAGCATTAAACAATTCTTCATATGCATTTTGTAATTCATCAAAGTTATTTTCATCATCACTTGAGGAAGAGTCGGAATCACTAACCTCAAAGTCGGAAGATATATTGTCGTTTTCCATCAAGCAAATGTTAGCTTCTATTTCCAAATCACTTGACTCCGAACTTGAGTCACTATCATCCCAAGCAATGTATGCTTTCTTCTTGAAGAATTTTTTTGACTTTGTTATCTTCATTCTTCTTGTTTGGACATTCGGTTTTTACATGTCCTGTTTCACCACAACCATAACATTTGATATTTAAAGAAGTACTTTCTCTTACCTTTCCCTTACCTTTGAAGGGTTGCCTTCCTTTGCCTTTCATAAACTTGGTAAATTTCTTTATCATAAGACTCATTTGTTCTTCTTCTTCATTTTCCGAGTCTTCTTCTTCCTTCTTGTTCTTACTCTTAGAAATTTCATATTTGAAGGTTAGGTTCCTCTTTTGGTGTTGACCTTCTTCATCATTTATCCTTCCGAGTTCAAGTTCGTGCTCTCTCAACTTACCAAAGAGCGCCGCCATAGACATTATTGCTAGATTTTGTGACTCCGTGATGGCCGTCACCTTAGGTTGTCATTTCCTATCCAAAGATTTCAAGATTTTTACATTTAATTCATCAACATCAAAAATTTTACCTAATCCGGTGAGATGATTCACTATGTGCATGAAATGCTTTTAATCGTCAAAGATTATTTCTCCTTGTTGCATCCGGAACATCTCATATTCTTGGATCAATGAATTTTTTCGTGCTCTCTTAACGTCATCGGTACCTTCGTGGGTCACTCTTAACATTTCCCACATCTCTTGAGCACTTTTACAAACGGAGATTCTGTAAAACTCATCAAGGGTTAAAACAGATGAAATTATATTTCTAGCCCTAACATCATATCGGGCTTTTCTATTTTCTTCCGCCGTCCATATAGAAAATGGTTTTGGAACATCTTCTCCGTTTTCAGAAATTTAGGAATAAAGTGACCATTTAAAATTGCGTCCCAAACACCTCTATCAACAGACTCAAAAAATATTTGCATTCTAACTTTCCAAAAGGGCTAATTTTGCCCCTCAAAAAGTGCAGGTCTATTGATAGAAGCACCCTCGGCAAATGTTTGACAAAACTAAGAGGGGTGCTGAATTGGTTTCTTAACAAAAATTAGGGTTTTAAAAAATTTCTCCAAATTTCACCGATTAAAATGCTGTGTAAAGTAAATAGAGCAAGGATAGAGTATTACACAGATGATTTATATTGGTTCGGATCAAAAGATCCTACGTCCAGTTGCTAATCACTCAAACAGAGGATTAAAACTGTCACTATAATCACAATTATACAATCAGATTACAAATAAGAAGATAAGGTAAAGAATACACCTCTCTTGAGTCACACAAGAGATGAACACCTCCTTTGAATCCCACAAAGGATGAAGAACAGTTTTCCCTAGAGACGGCACAACACACAATCCACCAAGAAAATCCACTTAGTGATTCTTATCGCTTCTAGCCCACTCTAGGTTCCAAAAGCCCCTTTTTCCTCCAAAAAACAGTTCTCTGGCATCACAACTCTCAACTTTTGTTTGAAAAAGGTTGTTCAGTTTGCAGAGAGCCTTAGACACTACAAGAAATTTCTTATTTACTGACGGATATTTACCGACGGATGTAGAGTCATCGGAAAATGAGTAATTACTGACGAAAATTACCGACGGATTTAAGATAGTTGTGAAATTTGGTTTTACCGACGGATATATCCGTCGGTAAATGAACTATTAATTATCGATGGATATATTCGTCGGTAAATTAGGAGGAAGTGATTACCGATGGATTTTTGAAATGTGGTTTTACCGACGGATAGATCCATCAGTAAATTAAGACCTATTTATATGCTTCGAATATTATTATCTTGTAACCTAAACAAGATCTCGCCAGTTTCTCACTTTATTCCCCTGATTCCCTCCCGATAGCCTCCAAATTCAGGTGCCACACCACCTTATGACGGTCACAACCACTCACCATCAGTCGTAGCCCTTCCGCAACGCCTATCACCTCCACCTCCACTACCAGTGACTTGCGGCGTCACCTCCCACCTCTCATCATCTCCTTCAATTCTTCTCCTTCACCAACCTCACTTACTCTCGCCCCACCCTCACCGAAAATCACTCTAACACCCCCATCTCTGTCAGGCAATCCCTAGCTTGGGTCGCCTCCACCACTAACTGCGAATCGCCTCCCTACCCATCCACTCACCACGGATCGAAGCAGTAGCTAGTCCCCTTGTCGAAGGTGAGGGCATGAACTAGCTCCCCTGTGGAGGTTGAACTCGAGTTCAGGATCCGTATTCTGGGTTTGTTTTTGCTTTATGTTTGTACCTTATTTTGATTTAGCACTGTACGATTTTGCTTCTCATCTGCCATTCGAAGAAGAGTAATGGCAATTCCTAATACAAAGTGCAAAATGCTTTTAAATAATGGAAAAAAGTACCCTAAAACAAATAAATATGATGTTTTACCCGATCATACACTACTACCCTTTGTTGATGACACCTCTCTGTCCTGTTTTTTCCAGAGCTTGTATTATAATTTTCGTCATTTTCTCTGGTTCTTCTAAAGGCTATTAAAACACCCATAAAAATTACATTAGAATGGAGGTTGAATGGTTTTAGTGATTGCATACATCTATTTTGATTATTAATACAATCAAATACAGAATTATAGCCCAATATATAGAGGTTGTTTATCCACATTTTAATCTTTGGCCAGTAAATACATGAAATGGAAGAGTCTTTCCTTTTTGTTTCACAACGTACACAATCATATATTATAATTGTACGGAATTTCATTCAAGGCAGGTGTTTCTTATTTAGTTGAGCTAGTTTGGAAAACTAACATAAAATTATGGGCACTTCCAGGGACAACTCAGAAAATTTATCTCTGGACTTCCTTCTCATAGACAACTTTGGAAACAAAATTAGAGATCAAAACGTAAGGCACATTTGATTGAAAACCTTAGTATGGAACAAGCCACCGAGTCTGATACATATACATCTATTACTAGCAAATGTTACTTGTAAAAGTTATATTTACAGTGAAATCTGCAGATTCATCAGAGGGTTATCAGATGACCTAAACACCTGAACATAGAACTCACAAGGCTACCAAATCCAACATAAATAGGTTTTTCGCCCTCTTCAAGCCAATCTACTAGCGATTTTGGTGGTTCATAATTTGAAGCAAGGTCAAGGAAACAAAATCCAACGACATCAATCTTAGGTCCCCAGTATGTAGATCAGTAAAGACAATTAGATTATCATGACATCTTCCAAAGAGTAATGATTATGTGGCAGTATACCTCACCCCTATGTAATAACAATTGCATACAGCTACATTGGTATATCAGTAATGGAAAAGTGAGGACTATAATATGAGAACACATTATAAATACGTATCTAACCTTTTGGTTTAGGGACTAAGTGAGGGCTCCATATATAACCATGGGGCACATCAAAAGGGTGAGTGTAAGATCCACTTAGATAAGTAACGGGCTTTAGCTTCAGCCTTTTCTTCCAAAACTCATTTATCAAGTCTCGTATTCCAAGCCAGATTAAACCATCAACTATTTGATATGACAGCTGAAAGACTCGAGACACAAAACAAAACAATAACTTAGAATCCCATGGAAAATTAATAGATTCTAATTTCAGATATACAGACAGACCGTAAAACTCACTCTGTAGCCAATTGGTTGCTTAACACGGGAAAGAGGATGAGGGAATTCACTAGTAGGCCTGCAAATGTTGTATAACATCATCATATTGCATAATAAAAGTACAAAAGTATCCTCTAATATCTGCTTAACTTTTCTAATGCCAACTGACAAATATCCTAATTCCTAAGCCAATGCCTGATTCACATATAACAAAACTCATAGCAGACATATAGATAATTAAGTGTGGGATTAGCACATGTTATGAAACAAGACTTACGTCCATGGCATTGTGAAGAATATGTGAAGTGGAACTTTTAGATATTCAGCAACATGTGTATGCCCTGCAAAAGATACATTAAAAAACATAAAATATTTTTTATTAATACATAATAGTTGTAAATAATCTCAGAAAGATTTCTAGATAGTAATTATATTCCTCTGCCAGTGAACTTTGTTTCTATTTGGGATTAGCCTATCAGTAGTTTCCATCTTTGGGACTTAGCAATAAAACGGAGGAGATTCTTATATAGTCTAAAATGTTCATCATGCCTGTCAGCATAAAAAAACTAGAATTTCTTCCCCTCTGTATGATTAGACTTTCAGTTGATAGTTCTAGACAAAAGTATCCCAGGTCACTCTCTAAGCTTTTTAGTCATTTAAAACTTCTCTTGCTTCTTGATTTCTAATGACAAATATAATTTAAACTTTAGATTGTGATACTCTAAAGTGCACGGTGTACTTCTAATCTATGAAGTGTTGAATTATTAATCATTGATGGACTAACAGATGAAATACAGGCACAGTTATAAATTATAATGAACTGTGAGATCACCACTCTACTTAGATGGCACTTTAGAGGATATAGATCCTTAAACTTTTTTGTTAGTATGCAATCTCTAATTACTTGATAAAATATTTGAACTACATTCTCATTATAATGAAAAAAATACTTATCTTCAATGTTGTTCATAATTTATGAGACATAACATGATCAAATTTTAAGTAAAATCTAACCATATGCTGGAGGATTGGCAATTATTTCAAATATTGCATTAGACTCTGGGTAATGACTGTGGCATGCAGGAAGCAAAGAATCAATGATATCCTTGATTTGATTTCTTTGTATATGTATTTCTGAAGGTCCTGATGGCAAGAAGCCTTTATTATTGACCATATCTCAAGAAAACATGTATAAAAATAATTCGAAGCATGAACAAAGAAGAAACACAATTCATCAAATGACTTATATGAGAAAACAGTGATATGAACAATTCCTCACCTTCATATGATGAAATTAGTATCACTGATTCTTGAGGAGTAAATATCAGTTCTTGATTTTATATAAATTTTCAGATTTACCTTCTATTCCAGGGATAGACCTCTTCATGATTTTAGATAAAAGTATATTATTACTTTTTATTATCATGAGATTTGTTTGCTATAAAGTATATATGAAGGACATTGCAGAGACTATACTGTTGGATGCTGAACACTGTGTATATGTGGTCAGCCACCATACCTTTTCCATTAACTCAATGTCATAAAAATTTTTCACCAGATGAATAATGACATGAGACCTAACCCTGGTTATCCAAGATACGAATCTGTTTCAAGATATGTTTTGTTATAAGATTTTTAAAATACTAGTAGTTTTATTATTTCCATGCGCCTACTACAAGTATGAGACATATTCCAATGCAACTAAACTACATGTGCTTTGTTAGTCACACCACTGGGTTGGCTAATGCATTGACCATACTGTACGTGCATGTTACATTATAGAATTTGCACTATTCCAATTCCAAAAGATATATTAGTTTTGTGACTTGTTCCCAATTTTCAAAATTGGTGTGAGATGATTGCTAAAAGAAAAGACATGGATGACATTCACCATTAAGCAACAATACTATATATCGTCACATGCATGTCTACAACAATTCTCTTGAACAATTTTACCAATAGTTTTTCCATATCTAATATCACACCATGTGTTGTCTTTCAATTTTAATAATTGTTTTTGGTACATGATACTTCTTGCAGGTTAAGTGTTGGCAAATCAAACGCCAAACAAAGGCTGCTCAAGCTGCAGGGACTATCCATACTGATTTTGAAAGGGGATTTATTTGTGTTGAGGTAAGTTGAGTTCATGAATATTGACATTTCTTGATTTAACTTGGTTGATTCTTCCTTTTATATATTTGCAAATATGTTTTAGTACACTGATTCCTTTTTTATTCAAGCCTAATTACTTGAAAGTCCAATGTTAAATTGGATTTGACAACATAAAAGTAGCTTAGTATTATTATGTTGAATCCAATGTTTAATCAATGTTCGATTTACTTGGAGCATAGTTTAATCAAAATCCAATGGTCAATTTCTTTCGCACAATTCATTCAATTGATCTTATTCTTTTCAATATTACAGAACATGGATGATATTTCTTTCCGTCGCGGTTGGATGTATGATAGATGTTATAGTGGTAGAAGAGGTTTGAAAGAGTCTTTTGTTATAGGGGTTGAAGAGTTTATCAGATTTGCTCGACAATATGAGTATTACGAACGTGATGGGGGAATTCGATGTCCATGCACCAAATGCGATTGTACAAGAATTTTGAAGGATGAAATGGTCAAAGTTCACCTTTACAAGCAAGGGTTCAAACCAAATTATTGGATTTGGACAGATCACGGAAAACATGTGCCTGAAGTTTAAGAGAAAATTGATGATAATTGTGTTAGCGGTTCATATATTGATGTACACATGACTGAACAAGACCAATTTATGTCAATGCAAGAGATGATGTACAATTCTCTCTGGCAACATCAATCATTTGAAGGACCCAATTGTCTTAACATAGAAGAGTCACCAAATGAAGCAATTCAAAGGTTTTATAATTTGTTGGCAGAGACAAATAAACCATTATTTGAGGGGGCAACAGATTCAAAATTGTCAATATGTGTTAGACTTTTAGCGTGCAAGTCAAATTGGAATATCCCTGATCAATGCTTAGACTTTATGACACGCATGTTGTTGAATGTCACACCTATAAAAGACAATTTACCAAAAACTTATTACGATGCCAAGAGATTAGTATCAAAGTTGGAATTAGAAGTGAAAAAGATTGATTGTTGTGTGAGTGGGTGTATGCTTTTTTGTGACAATGACAATGGCAAAAAAGATGCTACATTACTTCAATGTAAATTTTGTCAAAAGCCAAGATATCATGAGAAAAGTTGTGGAACAACCCATAAAAAGCCAGTTCCAGTAAAGTTCATGTTTTACTTGCCTATAATTCCTAGATTACAAAGAATATTTGCATCAATGCAAACTGCTGGGCAAATGACTTGGCACCATGACAATAAAACTTCCGATGTATTACGCCATCCATCAGATGGTGAAGCTTGGAAGCACTTTGATCGAAAACATCCAACTTTTGCTGTTGATCCACGCATTGTCAAACTTGGGTTATGTTTGTTAGAATCGTGCAGCGGAATGATCGCGTGGTCGGACAAAAACCAAGAGGCGGGGGGGGGGGGTGAATTGGTTTCTTAATAAAAATTAGGTTTTCAAAATTTTCCCCAAATTTTACCGATTAAAAACTGTGTAAATGTAAATAGAGAAGGGATAGAAATCTTACACAGGAGATTTATACTGGTTCGGATCAAAAGACCCTACGTCCAGTTGCTAATCACTCAACAGAGGATTAACGCTGTCACTATAAACAAGTTGTTACAAACAGATTACAATTGAGAAGATAAAGATACGAAAACACCTCTCTTGAAATCCACAAGAGATGATGAACAGCTTTCCCTAGAGACGGCACAACACACAATCCACTAAGAACTCCACTTAGTGATTCTTATCGCTTCTAGCCCACACCAGGTTCCAAAAGCCCCCTTTCCTTGCAACAAAGAGTTCTCTAGCACTCACAGCACTTAACTTTTGTATGGAAAAGGTTGTTCATATTTTTCTGAGTGCCAAAGGAGAGTTTAAGTAGGGAAATTAGGGTTTAGAAATTGGGGATTTCGAAATTAGGGTTCTTGGTAATTGGATTTTCGAAAATAGGGTTGATTTGAAATTTAAAAACAAAAACAGACTGAAATAATCGATTAAATGGAGTTATAATCGATTAAAACAGAGCCAAAAACAACAGAACCCAAAACCTCTCTGTTTTAATCGATTATTAGACGTTTTAATCGATTATCAGACGTAATAATCGATTATTTTGAGTTTTAATCGATTAAAGCAGTGAGTTTATACAGAAAATGGTTTTCTCACTATTTTAATCGATTATTTCCTTATATAATCGATTAAAGCCGAGCCTGGATGATATATTTGGGCTTTTTGAAGCTTCTAAGTTGCAGACTATGTACCGGCTATCTCAAACTCTAAAATTACAGACTCAATCTAATTAAAACAGAGTTATTACACTACAAAACAAGTCTTCAATACTTTAAGTTTTTGAGTTCTTGAATCATCATCAAAATCATCAATCTTCATGTTCATCAAGTGCAACATCAAGTCCTTGAATGTTCAACAATCTCCCCCTTTTTTATGATGATCAAAATTATCTTTTAAAGCCCTTGTAATAACATGTTTTATCTGTCATACTAACAAACACATCAAACATACCAGATAAAATTTAAATGCAATTCATAAGAGGCTTTAAATTTTTCTCCCCCTATTTTGATTATAATCAAAAAGAACTCTGCAATAACAATCATAAGAGCTACCCCTCAAAATATGCATAAGATGGAGAAGACTCCCCCTCAATTAAAGCATTAAAGAAACATCATATTTTATTTCAAAAGTGTCAATACAGTACATCATAAAAGAAGAAAATCAACAAATTTAAAATTCTTCACTATCATCATCATTAAAGTGTGCATTAAATCTATTTTCTAAACGGCACACTTTTTCATCTACATCAGATATACGGCGAATTAATTCCTCATGTCGTACACCAGAAAGATTGAAAATGATTGCATCCTCTGATTCATGTCGAGATAACATATCTTCCATGGATTGTCTTGGTTCATGGTGAATAGAGGAAGTTCCAGGCATCTTGGATTTGGTCGGAGGAAACTCAGCAGCTGGAGGCATATCTTCATCGGAATCGTCATTAGCATCCCCTTGATTAGGAACGTCATCTCTGTGAACATAAATATCATTGACTCGCACCATTTGAAGTTGAGTCAATGTGCTGTCTAGCATGCGGTTTAAGTTGTTTGTTCTAACTGCTTGCTCACCTTCAACATTCACTCCTTTATATTCAAGAATACGGGAGACAAGGAGGGCATATGGAATTTTGAAGGTGGGATGACGTTTTGCTTTAAGCATGGTCATTGTGACAAGAACACCTCAATCTAAAGGTTCATTATTCATTATGGCATGAATAATTCGAAGATCAATGGAAGAGCATTGGGCATGATTCGTAGCCCGGGGAAATAAGATCCATACAAGTAAATGTAGAAGCATGCGTTCTTCCTTCTTTAAAGGTCCAGCATGAAGGATACGTCCAATTTCCATTGAGGGATTCCGCAGAAAAGAGCGATAAGCTAGAAACCTGTCAAAGTCATTTAGCTCACCATATACGTTAATAGCATCTTCTCTAATTGGAAAGTGAGCAACATTCTCCCAAATATCATCATCAAGAATTATTGTAACCCCTTTTACACGGGATGTAGCAATTTGATCTCTAAATTTGAATCTAGAGTAGAATACCCTAACCAAGTCAGGATAATACGTACCTTGCATTTGGATAAACGGGAGAACTCCTTGAATTTCAAGAAGATTAGGAAAATTGAATCCCCTATGAATGAATTGCTCTCCTATAAGAAATTTGGGAGAAATAATAGTCTTTTCCTTCCAGTAGGTTAGAAATTCTTGTTGGCCATCTGCATCAGAGATCCATCCTTCTACAGAATTAGGACGGGGATGAGAGGAGGGTGCAGATCTTCTTCTAGTTGGGATCTTAGGGCGAGAAGATGAGGCCATTTGAAATAGTAGATGAATATCAAGAAAATCTAGAAGGACAAGTGATGGAATAAGGTGAAAGAAAGGATAATAAGGCAAGAAAGCTTGATTTCAAGAGTTAGTAGTGAGTAGAAGTGAACTAGAGGTCTCTATATATAGCAAAATCATGTCCAACGTTCATATAGAAGAGAATGGAGACCA